TCTTATAGTTCTGGAGGTACAAAGACTGAAATAGGTCTTAGAGGGCTAAAATCAAGGTATCCATAGACCTTCCGGAGGCTCTGGAAGACAATTCCTTTCCTTACCTTTTCCAGCTTGTAACAGCCATCTGCATCCCTTGGTTCCTGGCCTCTTTATACTTCTTCAAGCCAGCAATGTAGGATCCTCAAACCTCTCCTGCTCTGACACTCCTGCCTGCTTCTTATAAAGACCTCTGCTATTCCACTAGGCCCAGCCAGATAACCCAGGATAAGCTCCCCATCACTAGACCCTCAATTTAATCACATCTGCACAGTTCCTTTTGCCAGGAAAGTAACATATCCACAGGTTTCAGGGATTAAGATGCAGATATCTTTGAGGACCATTATTCTGCCTACCACAGAGGTGAGATATTTTAAATATCATACCTGAGTATATACAAGAAGCTACATAGAATTCTCATAAAATTATGTCTCAGTCTAAAGGTGAGATATGAGAGTCATATATAGAAAAAACTTAAAATAGGTCCATGCCCTGAGAACTTTCTGGAACACTGCAAACCTTTAATTCCCTCCTCTGATTTAATAGTTACTGATATCAGATAGATGAAATAGTTAAAAAGAGAAAAGAGTTGGAGCAACATAGAAAGAAGGAGGGAGAAAGAATGCAAATATCACTCATAAATGGACAGATCCCAGTGAGGACAAGGAGAGACTCCAGAAATTGATGGCTAGCTTGCACCAGGTAACTTCCTACCCTTTCAAGGTCTTCTAATATTGGATGCTAAAAATAATGTGAAAAATGGGCAAATAAAATAATAAAAATTTGAATGTCTTCAGCAATTTAATGCCCAGGGAATGCCCATGGGGTTGATTTGATGAGATTTGGGGGAAATTTTAAGCTGTGTAAGGGACAGCCAATGTACAGTTCATCAGCTCTTGGAGGGCAGGAGCCATATCTGATGCATCTTCGTGTATTAAACAGTGGCTTGTACACAATGGGAGAAAATGTCCTGAAATAAAATCCAGGAGTCACAGTTGAATGTTAGCTCTCTGAGGGAGGGCTGTTGGTCCTGGGCATGCCCCTGATTCCCAGCCCCTGGAACAGAGTCAGGCAAATGGCAATTGCCCAACAACTCTGTGTTGAATGAACAAAGGAAAATGAATGGATTCAAAGGATAAGAATAAACAACAGTTTTTGGTGTAAACAACAAACATTTAAATGTTCATTTTAATAAGTAGAAAATGCCAAAAACCAATACTCAATTCAGTATATTGGCATTTTGATATGCTGTATCAAATTCTAAGCGATCAAATGAATTTAAAGGCCTATATTCCTGTCTATAAATAATGTTGCCAGGTTTAGTGAATAAAAATACTGACCTCCAGTTAAATTTGAATGTCATATAAACAAAGAGTAATATTTTAGTATAAGTGTGTCCCAAATATGGCGTGGCAACCTATCCATAAAGTCACATTGTATTGTATTTTAGATAAATTATAACTTTGTAAAGATATTATGTTTTTTTAATTTCAGAATATTATGGGGGTACAATCATTAAGGTTACATACGTTGCCCTTGTCTCCCCTCCCCCCTGAGGCAGAGCTTCAAATGTGTCCATCCCCCAGACGGTGTGCATCGCACTCACTAAGTATATATATATACCCATCCCCTCCTCCCCCCTCCCACCTGCCCCACACCTGACAAATGTTTGTTTTTCTTTTTTTCTTAACATTTTGGTTACATTTTATATCTTTGCCTCTCCCTAGCAAGGTTTAGAAGTATGCCCTTCCCTGGCACAATGTTCACCCCATCCCACAGATGTGGGACTACCCCTCCAACCTCCGAATCCCTGGTGAACACCACCACCCTCTGAGCACCATAGTGTTAATCAGTCAGTATCAATTTGATGGTGAGTATATATGGAGCCCATTATTCTGATCTTGTGTCACCTCATTTTGGATAATGGGCTTAAGCTCAATCTAGAATAATATAAGTGGTGCTAGCTTGCTGTCGTTTCTTAGAATTGAGTAATATTCCATTGTAAACATATACCAAATTTTAATAATCCACTCATGAATTGACAGAACTTGGGTTGTTTCCACATCTTTGCTATCGTGAATTGTGCTGCCATAAACATTTGGGTGCAGATGTCTTTATAATAGAATGTCTTATGTTCTTTTGGGTAGATGCCTAATAATGCTATTGCTGGGTCGAATGGTATTTCTATTTTTAGCTCTTTGAGATATCTCCAAATTCTTTTCCACAAAAGTTGCACTAATTTGCAGTCCCACCAGCAGTGTAAGAGTGTTCCTGTCTCTCCACATCCTCGCCAGCATTTGTTGTTTTGGGATTTCTTGATACAGGCCATTCTTACTGGGGCTAGGTGGTATCTCATTGTGGTTTTGATTTGCATTTCTTTAATGATTAGCGATGTTGAGCATTTTTAAATATGTTTGCTGGCCATTATTCTGTCTTCTTTAGAAAAGTTTCTGTTCATTTCCGTTGCCCATATGTTTTTAATGATGGTATTGTTAGGGAAGGAAAAGGAGGTGCTTTCACCAGCTTGTGTTTAAAATGGGAGTAAGAGATTGTGGAGACCAGCTATATTGTATTATGCTGTTTTAAAGCATGCTTTTCTGCGAGCTAGTGGCCATGGAGGAGAACTGAAATTCAGCTTCTCATAAATTCTGCAGAGCTACCAGGGAACAGTAATCAGCAAGGATAAAATCTAGAGGGAAGGTCAGTGAGGCAGGTAAGAACTGCTGCATCCATATTACCTTAAACACACAAAACTCCACAAAGCAGGACTGGGAAAGGGAGCAAGGAAGGAAGGAAAGGATCATTCCATGAGAATGTTGTGAGCTTGGCTTTAGGAAAAAGCCCCCCATGTCAGCTCCGACAGCTACTTTAATTTTAAGTGCATGTTGTGCTTGCTTAGTCCATAAAATAGAGTTGAGCATGTTCCATGTACTTTGCAGTCTGTCTTCATAATGCCCTGTTGCCAGCAAAGTAATTCACTGTTTTTCTTAGAAAGGGCATGGTGTTGCAATGTTCATTTGAGCCTGATCCGAAGAATCTCTATTGATGCCTTTTTTTCCATTAGGCATTTACATGCTACCTGGCTGTTAGGCTTGAAAATACCAGATGGAGTTTGGGAGCAGAGCAGACACCGTTGTCATAGAAACGAGATGCTATCCCAGCTCTATGCAGCTGCCATCTTCTTTTTTTCACTGTGGGGAGTTCTGATAGGAACAAGTACTGATAAAATATAGAGATTCCTCCCTCATCTCCCCCCCCCCACCCACCTTGGAATACAAGCACTGTGAATACATCCATCAAGCTTACTGAAAGCCAAAAACTACAGGAAAATGACTCGATTTCCAGTTTTGATCAGAGTATAACTGGTAAGCCCATGCTTCGACATCATCTTCTTTTAAACTGTGATGATGCATTTGTCCTGTTCCAAGATGAGACAATAGCCTTTGTAACCAGGGGAGCCTCAGCGTTGACATTCCTGGAAATGCAACCTAAGTGTTGGTAATCACTGTGCAACATCTGTACTCAGCAGGAGAGTGTGGAGTGACCTCTCCCGAGTCTCTGAATTCCCCACAGTGGCTAGCAGAATGCTGAGCACGCAGGAGGGGCATGCTGAATTCTTGTGCCCTGATGTTCAAACTTGAAGGATGCAGTTACTGGCCATGCTCCCTTGCTGCTGCCTTGCCTCTGCTGGCAGTTATGGCAGTCCCAAGGGTGGGTGACTGTGGGGGCAGTGCTCAATACAGATGGGAGGACAGGGCAGAAAATTTTTCTAGAGGCAAAGCTGCTTTTGTGACCCTCCATAGTTGGGAACAAGTTAAATTCTAGGGCCTTAAAACTCTGGCTTTAGCAATAAAGGGCTATTAAAATTGTAGTGGTTTGGGGTAACGGTTCATGTATTAGTTTCCTATTGTTACTGACATGAACTATTACACACTTAGTGGCTTAAGACAACACATATTTGTTCTCTTACGGTTCTGCAAGTCAGAAGTCCAAAATCAGTTTCATGGGGCTCAAGGCAAGATGTCGGCAGGGCTGTTTCCTTCTGGGGGCTTGAGGAGAGAATCTCTTTCCTTGCCTTTTCCCACTTCTAGAGCCACCTACATTCATTAGCTCATGGCCTCTTCCTCCATCTTCACCGCCAACCACATAGGATCTTGCTCCCATCCTCACTTTGCATTTTTCTATTGTCAAATATGCTTCTGCCTCTCTTTATATAAGGATACTTTGATTATGCTTAAGGCCCATCCAGATAATCCAGGATAATCTTTCCATCCCAAGGTTCTTAATGTAATCACATCTGCAGCCTCCCTTTTGCCATAGAAGGTATTTTGCCATTTATAGGTTCCAGGGATTAGGGCATGGGTATATTAGGGGGCCATTATTCAGCCTATGACAGTTCCCCAACTCGGATGGTCATCACATGGGAAGCTTTTCAAAAGCAAAGATTACCAGGCCCTGCAGTAGACTTAGCCTATCAGAATTTCTGAGAGTGAAAGCCTGGAAATCTCTCTTTTTAAGACTCTCTCAGGCTATTCTGTGAAAAACCTCTGTGAAGACCTTTTCCAGCCTCTTTCCTAAACACATGCAGTGAGGATTTCATAACACTGATTGCGTTCTCTGTATCATGTTCAGGGTCAATGAGGGTGTGAGGAAGGTTTTTAAAATGTATTTGTTCGGAATCTTGGAAGGTCATTCTATCCATTCCATCCTCTGAGCTTCACAACACTGCCACAGAAGAGCCTTGGCAGACCACTGTGTCATGTGAACTGAGTCCAGCAACTCTTCAATTTAATGGTAAGGATACCAAAACTGTTTGCCAATGCCTTCCTAGACCTTTAACCATATGAAATGTGTATCTTGATATCTGACATCAGCTGGTGTTTCTTTTCCTTATGGAGACTTTTCCACTTACCACCTCAGAACATTCTTTTCCTTCATCGATGCTTCCACGTTGTTCTCGGAGCTCTTGAAGTTGCCTATTTCGCCTACTTCAAGAAAAACGGCTGTGGCAGAGGAAGAAAAGCCCATACAGTATCTTTAGAAAAACTGTAAATATTTTATCATTTCTTACTAAACATACATTATTTACTATGTAATGTAAATATTTTATGGCCTGCAACTGGCAATTTTGGAATATATCGGTATGTTTGGAGAATTGTGGTTCCGTTAAAAATCTTACCCTGCACACCCGGCTCATATTTAAGTTATACAACTCTTTAAAAATCATTTAACTCTCAGAATTAAAGTAGCAATAGAACCTATTTTTCAAAGGAGCTTTAAGGACCAAACCGAGAACCAGAGACAGCACTTTTGTGTGACAAGAGAAAGTTGTGACAGCCCAGAACGTTCCATCTTCTGCAGGATGACAGTGTTTGAATGTGTCTAATTTCATCCTGTGGGGAGAAGGCGGAGACATACCCACCACCAGCTCGTTAGAATGTCCATATTGGGAGTGAAATCTGAGAAGAGTTTAGCCACACACAAAAAGGCAGAAAATCTTCCTGGCTTTAGGATACACATGTAGAGTTGTATGTAGGACAAGAAAATCCTTTCATTAAATAAAATGGCTACATATCAGAACATTTAAACCCGGTTTTCAAATATAGACTTAAACTGTTTGGAGAATTTTTTTTCTTTTTTAATTCCAGCGACTCTCCAATACAGAGGTCATAGAAGCTGCCATCATTCTAAATTACAGCCCATTTCAGAGGTTGGCTGTAATCCAGGAGGTTGCATTATTGCAAATTGCCTGTCAAAAACTGTCAAAACACTGCCATTATCAAAAAAGTAGTCCTTTTAAATAATTTTCTCACTCTTTTCCCTGAAACTTTACTGGCATTGCGCCTTAGTATCATAGCTTATAGGCATAGTAAGTGAAAGCCTTTCAAATGAGAAGTGGCAACAAGGAACCATATTCTAGGGATACAACAGCAATGTGCTAAATTCTAGGCAGAAAATTGAGTCAAATTTGCAGATGCTGTCTCCCCCCAAAGCAATAGCCATTACTAATCTACATGTGAAATGATAACCAAAGAATAAAGAAAATATGAGTCCTACTAGTATTACTTTTTCTTCACGTTTAACACGTGGAAAGAATTCTCTAGTTAGTTCCTAGAGTCTATATTTTTCCTTTTTGTTCTCTCCCTCCATATCAAATTTCTAATGAAAAATGTTTTATCTTACAGATTACTGATGTCTATTTCCTTCATTTCATAAATACGGAAATTAACACCTGGATGGCTGGCTGATTTACCCAAGGCTTCATGACAAATCTGAAACTGAATCCTGCACTCTTTTTCCCAAGCTTTATTGAGGTATGTTTGACAAATAAAAATTGTATATATTTAAGGTGAACAATGCGATGTTTTGATATACATTGTGAAATTATTATCAGAATCAAGCTAATTAACACATCTGTCACTTCGCATAGTTACCTTTTTGTTGTGGTAAGAATATGTAAGATTTACCCTGTAAGCAAATATCAAGTGTACAACACAATATTGTTAACTATAGTCACCATGCTGCACATTAGATCTCCAGGACTTACTTATTCATCCTGTGTAACTGAAACTTTATAGCCTTGACCAGCATCTCCCATTTCCCACTTTCCCAGCCCCTGGCAATCATTATTCTACTCTCTACTTTTGTGAGTTTCACTTTTTTAGATTCTACATGTAAGTGAGATCATACAGTATTTGTTTTTTTCTGTGTCTGGCTTATTTCACTTAGCATAACATCCTCCAATTCATCCATATTGACACAGTGGTAGGACTTCCTCTTTTTAAAGACTGAATAATATTCCACTGTGTATATATACCATATTTTCTTTATCCATTTATCTGTCAAATGAATACTTAGATTATTTCCATATCTTGACTATATTTCTTGTGAATTCATATATTCTTGTGAATAATGCTGCAATGCACATATTGCAAATTGATATACCCATTATGGAAAATAGCATGGAGTTCCCTCAAAAAATTAAAAATAGAACTACCATATGATCATCAATCCCATTTCTAGGTATATATCCAAAAGAATTGAAATCAGTATCTTGAAGAGATACATATTCCAGCTCTTTTTTTTTTTTTTGACTTGGAAATCCGTCTTGTTTATCTTCTCTTTTTTATTTCAGCCTTGACTCTAAAATTATGCTACCTGGGTTAGAAACACCTTCCTCAAAAAGAGAAATCCCTGCCACCTACATTCTCTTAGATATAGACCTTCATGTTAAAACTTCAATTCTAGCAAAGAATTTCAGCAACTGTTCAGTTTAAGACCAATTTATCTTTCAAACCATGTAAGATGACAAAATATTTTAGAGACTGCTCTTATTTTGGGACATTATAAAATTCAAGCAACAAATTATGAAATCAACAGGATAATTCAGTCCTACAATCATTGTGACAGTTGTATTTGTCAACAACTAGTTTTCAGAAGAGATGGAACTCAAAGAAAATGCATAGCTTTGAAATTCAGACAAAGAGAGACATAGAAATATTTCTTTAGACTATTAGTAGTTTATTATAGAGAAAAATTAATGTGCAGGTGAATTCATTTAACAGGAAGACAATTCTTTGAACAAATGTAGCCTAAAGATGTTTCAGAATAGATCTGCAGCTTCTAAGGATGCCAGTAATATATGTAATGGTGCTTGATCTCATTAGCAAGCAGCTCAAACTCTTCAGCTACCATAAAATACAAAACGCAATCAGCACATTCTCAGGAGCAGTATATCTGTCTGACCTGACTTCTGCTCTGCAGTTAACAATTTTGTTTTAATCCATAAAAAAGAAATTCTCATCATCTCTAAATTGTACAGATGGGTTCTCGAAAGATCATACTTATGTCTAATTTTCATGTTGCATGTTGTTCTATGTTCTACAGCAATCTTTAGGGATTGGGAAATGTTCTTTTAAAAATCACTGACAAGCCATAATTAATTCATTACCAGCAAAGACAACCCCAAGATCTTCCAGTGGAGGATGTAAACGTTCAAGAAATACTCCCCAAAAGAGCATTTATTGAGTACTTTTGGTTCTTTACCATCGTTATTAAAAATGTACCAGCCTAAAATATCTGAACTTGAGAAAAATTACATAAAGAAATATTTCCCAAGCTGTGCCTTAAGGAACTCCTAATATTCCTCAAGAATTTTACATGCTTTCTTTAAAAAACAAAAATGATTATTGCATATGAAAATAAGATGGGAAACTGCAGTTTCTAGTCCCCTGGAAGACTTACAATGCACATTAGTTTATTAAAGGTTCTAAGACATCCTACAATAAAGAAACCTGATTCATTTAGTTTAATACAATGCTCCCAAATTAATATGGCCATAAAGCCCTTTTTTTCTGAAGCATACTAAACTATGTTAGGATCAATGATGTTCTTTGAAACACAGTTTGTGGTTCAAACCCTGATATAGATTTCTGTTTAGGCAGCTACTGAGGCCTGGGTTATAGGCAACTCTATTTTCCTCTGACCAGGAGCTCTAAAAGTTACCAGCATTCTAGTAAACTGTTGGTCACTATGGAGACAGGACTTGAGTCATTATTTTATAGATCAGGAAACTGAGGTTCTAATTTGCTCAAATGTACAAGTGACAGAGCTGGTTCTAGACACAAAAGCCCCCACTTCCAATTGACTTTATCTTAACTGAGGAGCCTTAAAGGATATAGCTTCTTTGACCATTTAAAAAAATTCCCTAAACTTCAGACTTTTTAAGGAAGATAAGAACTTAGTGTAATCATAGTCAAAGACCATTATAATGTTATGTGAACATTGACCTAAGAAACCAGCATTTAAGTATGAATAGGAATCATGGTTTTTACTCATTGTGCATAGTCATATTTATGTGATTTTGAAAAATCTAACATATCCACATATCTATTATGATTTTTTTTTGTCAAATATTTTTTTCTCAAATGACATTATGAATACAAATCATGGTGTGGCCCATTCCTGTTACTCCAACTTCATGATGCTATTTTTCTAAACTGTATCACTATATACTTAATCATCATTTGGAATGACAGACAACCACAAAGCCCTATATCTTGCAACTGTTAGACGTTTCAATAAATCAGACAGTCAACACATCCCTTTAGTGTACATATCCAGCTAAAAGTTAATTTACAAGGCAAGTATCTAAACAAAGTCATGGGAAATTCTCGTTTTTTTAGTCTCCTAAATGTTCTCCAGGAAATCGTGGAAAATTCTGTCCACAATGTGCCCTAAGAACTTCTTTCCAAGTATATATTTTTCAATTTTATATCTATAATAGGTCATACTTTATTTCTTATATATTAAATGATATACATTAGTCATATTGTGAGATAGATGACTAGAAAAATAAGGTACAAAAAGTTTTGTTTACTATGTAACTTACCTAAAATTCTGTCATGACTTCCATTTTTCACATAAATTCATATTTTAGCTCATTTAGAATAAATCAATTCCAAATCAAGAGACCAATAGGAAAATATATTTTAGAGACATGTAGCACTGAATTAAATACCTGCTTCTTATGTGTAATAGAAAGGGAATGTTCGTATTAATTTTTGAATGTTAGATAACTCCACTATTATGCATTCTTTTGTTCAGCGAGAAGTTTATATTTACTTCTTTCTTAAAAAGAGAATATGTAACACAAGGCAAATGTTAAATATTAGCAAATTCTAGGACTTAATGCCCATAAAGTGACGTGTTGTATCTGAAGTCTATTTTCAGATACCAGAAGTAGTTCTGCCGGGGGGTAGGGAAAAGGCTTGTGTCGTGGCCTTTGGGGCTCAGTGTTAACATCACATTAGGACTTCCTCCATTTCTCTCTACTGTCTTGTCGTTCCAAATGGCCAAGGTTTTCAGGAAAGGGAGTCCAATGCCCTTCTTTTTCCTCTTGGCAACTAACAGAAGCGTCAAAAGTACTGAAGGTAATCCCTTGGACCCCTGCTGGTATAAGAAGTGAATCAGTGTCATAACAGTCCTTGAATCATGTTAATGTCAACATTTTAATGAAGGGACAACAGATGAGATAGATGGTATTAGATTACATTCTTGATATAATGTCTGCTCTGTGGTTAGTACCAATGCTGAGACAATTGTTTTGTGTAGACATACCTTGTTTTATTGTACTTTGCTTTATTGTGCTTAGCAAATAGCATGTTTTTTACAAATTGAAAATTTGTGGCAACCCTGCATTGAACAAGTCTATGTGCTTACTTCATGTCTCTGTGCCACATATTGGTAATTCTCACAATATTTCAAGCTTTTTCATTATTATATCTGTTATAGTGATCTATGATCAGTGATCTTTGATATTACTATTATAATTGTTTTACAGTACCACTAACTGTGCCCATATATGGCAGTGAATTTAATATGTAACTGTTGTGTATGTTCTGACTACTCTACCAACCAGCCATTTCACTTTCTCTCTCCTGGGGGCCTCCCTATTCCCTGAGCCACAACAATATTGAAATTAAGCATGTTAATAACACTATAATGGCTTCCAGGTATCCAAATGAAAAGAAGAATCTCACGTCTCTCATTTTAAATCAAAAGCTAGAAATGATTAAGCTAAGTGAAATAACTCCACTGTTACAGTGGTCTGGGAGATCAAACCAGCCACAACATTCCCTTAAGTCAAAGTCTAATCCAGAGCAAGGCCCTAACTCTCTTCAGTTCAATGAAGGCTAAGACAGGCAAGGAAGCTGCAGAAGAAAAGTTTGAAGTTAGGAGAGGTTGATTCATGAGGCTTAAGGAAAGAAAATATCTCCATAACATAACAATGCAAGGTAAAGCAGTAAGTGGTGATGTAGAAGCTGCAGCAAGTTATCCAAAAGATCTAGTTAAGGTCTTTGATGAAGGTGGCTACACTACACAATAGATTTTCAGTATAGATGAAAGAGCCTTCTATCAGAAGAAGATGCCATCTAGGACTTTTGTAACTAGAGAAGCAAAGTCATTGCCTGGCTTCAAGACTTCAAAGGTCAAGCTGACATTCTTAAGAACTAATGCAACTGATGACTTTGGTGTTTTTTTATTTTATAATATATAGAAACAATACATTCAAAACCTAAGTTGATGACTGTAGGTTGAAGCCAATAGTCATTTACCATTCCAAAAATCCTAGATCTCTTAAGAATTATGCTAAATCTACTCTGCCTGTGCTCTATAAATGGAAAAACAAAGCCTGAATGGCAGCATGTCTGTTTACAGCAGGAGTCCTCAAACTATGGCCTGCGGGCCACATGCCACCTGCCTAGGACATTTATCCGGCTGGCTGGGTGGTTTTGCTGTAGCTGCCCATCCTGCTTAGCAGCCGATTCATCCTGGGCCCACAGTGCGTACTCTCCAATGGTCTGAGGGACAGCAAACTGGCCCCCTGTTTAAAAAGTTTGAGGACCCCTGGTTTACAGCATGGTTTACTGAATAGCTTAAGCTCACTGTTTAGACCCACTGCTCAGAAAAAAATTACTGCTCATTGACAATATACTTGGTTACCTAAAAGCTCTGATGGAAATGTACAAAGGGATTGATGCCTGCTAGCACAGCATCCATTCTATGGCCCTTACATCAAGGAGTAATTTTAACTTTCAGGTGTTATTATTTAAGAAATACATCTCATAAAGCTATAGGTGCCATGGATAGTAATTCCTCTGATGGATCTGGAAAGAATAAATCAAAACCTTGTGGAAATGATTTGCCATTCTAGGTGCCATTAAGAACACTTGTGATTCATGGGAGGAGGTAAAAATATCAACATTAACAGAAGTTTGGATGAAGTTGATTTCAATCCTCATGGATGACTTAGACTCATGGATGACTTAGGCTCAAGACTTCAGTGGAGGAAGTAATTGCAGATGTGGTGGAAATAGCAAGAGAACTAGAATTAGAAGTGGAGCCTGAAGATGTGACTGAACTGCTACAATATTATGCTAGAACTTGAATGGAAGAGGACTTGCTTCTTAAGGATGATCAAAGAAAGAGGTTTATTGAGATGGGATCTACTCCTGGTGAAAATGTTGTGAATATTGTCTAAATGATAACAAAGAATTTAGCATATTATATAAGCTTGGTTGATAAAGGGGCAGTAGGATTTGAGAGGACTGACTCTAGTTTTGAAACAAGTTCTCCTGTGGCTAAAATGCTACTGAACAGCATCACATGCTACAGAGAAATCTTTCATAAAAGGAGGAGTCAATGGATACAATAAACTTCATTGTTGTCTGTTGTCTCATTTTAAGAAATTGCCACAGCCACCCTAACCTTCAACAACCACCACCAGTCAGCAGCCATCAACATCAAGGCAAGACCCTTTATCAGAAAAAAAGGTTATGACAGCTATAGGCACAGATGATGGTTATTAATTGCATTTTAGCAATAAAACATTTTTAGATTAAGGTATGTACCGTTTTTAGACATAATACTATTGCACACTTAATAGAGTACTGTATAGTGTAAACATAACTTGTATATGCACTGGAAAACCAAAAAACCCTGTGTGACTCCCTTTATTGTGATACTTGCTTTATTGTGATGGTCTGGAACTGAACCCACAATTATCTTGGGGGTATTTCTATAATTCCATTGCTCTGTTGATTTCAAGATAATACTGTGTGCCAGGCACTGTGTTAACCATTTTTACGTGGATTATGTCTTTCAATCCTCATAACAACTCTGTGCTGTAGTGCTATAGGTGCTGTCAATATCCCCATTTTAAAACTGAGGTTTATAGAGTTGAAGAAATGTGTCCAAACTCAGCTCCTAAATGATGGTGCTGAGACTCAAACTGAGGTCCCCTCAGCTTCTGTTCATTTGCAATTCATTTTGTGGAATTGAAGCCAAAATTTCTCCCCTTCCTTCAGATTTCTGTATGCATTTCTACTGAAGTCTTGTTTTCATATAAATTGATAATCTTTTTCCTTGCAAGGCAAAAATTTAATGCTATTTAATCTTCAAAGGAAGTGTTGAATGGTAACAAGCCACCCAGACATTTGGGTAGATAGCATAATGGAGGAGAGGGCATGGGAATCAATTCCTGGAGCTACACTTTGTTTCGATTTTGGTGTTAGCATATTCTTGCAAAATTATTTGAATTATTCCAATCATCCTACTACAAGTATTTATTAAGCTTTTACAAGGCATCAAATGCATGTGTGAATATGGTTCTTGTGCAATAGATTTGCTATCTAAAGTGAAACTCCCCAATCCCCACAGGAAAAAAAGGAAAGGAAAAGGTAAGAGTGGATTGAGAGAGAGACAAAGACAGAGAAAGAGAAGAAAGGTTTTTACTCTCCTTTCTTATAAAAATCTAGTTTTCCCAGTTGAATTCAGGTGCTGTAGTTTTTCTCTCTTCTGCTTAAAAAATAATTTTTCCATCACTTAACATTGTGTGGTCTCTGGAATCAAGACTCTTTCTGTTATAAAAAAAAAGTGCAACAATGGCCAAATTTCCACAGCCAGGAGAAAAGGAAAGATTGAGACAGTTTTCTCAATAATTGCTTCAATCCTCCTCCTGTTGGTCTTGGAAACTTGGCCAGCGACTATAAAGGAGATGTTGGATTGATTTTCCCCCTCCCTCTGTTACTGTTTCCTCTGCCTGAAATGCTGTTCTCCTCCTTCTAAGTAGTCACACTCCCTCTCTATCTTCAGGTCAGATGTCACCTCCTCTGGGAAACTTATGCTGACATCCCTCAATCCCCACTTTCCTGATGGTGCATATTCCCTCCAACCAGGGCAAAATTAATCACCCCTTCCTGTTTGCTTCTTTAACACTTTGTTATACCATTCGCACAGCACAAATCACACTATGTTATAGTCAGGTATTTGCTTTTTTATGCTCTTCTAATAGCTGAATTTTCTGAAGACAGGGAATTTTTTTTTAATTCACCAATATGCCCCCATAAAGCCTGGTACTTAAGAGGTACTCAATACATCCCTATCTGAACAAGCACCCGAATTGGCATATTCACCATGTTAGCCAAATTCCAAGGGAAGAGAAATTTCCCCACACTGATGCCACCCCTCTTTTCCTGCGTAACCACCAGCTTCGCTACTACACAGCACCCAGCCCTGTTGAAAACTAGGTGTACGCATACAAGCGTGAGCAACACACTATGCGCGAGGATGGATTTAATGCCACAGTGAGAGGAAAAAACAAGTCTTCCTGTCCCCATTTAGCTCCTAGTCAAGATTTCTAGATTTGACTTATTTTGACTGGTTCTATGCCTCTCAGCTAAGTCAGAAATCTGAACTCAGGGAAAATCACGTAAAACAACAAATCCTGATTCTTCACAATGGTTTCAGTAGTTGAGGAGTCTGTTTCTTGTTGGTATACGGTAGGACATTTCCTTTGGGGACTGCTTCCCTCACCCCAGTTGTGTGCATGATTAGTGAGGCTGTCTATCAAGGTCTACTTCTCACGGGGATGGGCATGTCCTAGGTTCACCCGAATATTCCAACTTACCAGGCACAGTGATTGATCTAAGCAGGGACAATGGGTATCTTGCTTCGAAATTTGATATGAATTGGGAGGGGCAGTGGGAGAGAGACAGACAGATAAGAGGGAGACAAAGACAGTTGGAGGCTATTGCCTTGTGAAGTCATAAATGCAGAATCATGAAAGCCTGTGAGCCGGGACAAAGAGGGGACAGAGTTGGGAGCACGTGTGTTGGGGGAGGGGGATGTGGGAAGAGAGTACCTATTACTGGGCAAGATGTGCAGAAGAGTGCTCTGGACCCCAGTGTGGACAGATCAATACAAAGTCAGTTGTAAAGATTTTTCAAACCATTTAACCCTTGCTGGAAATGCCTGAAAAAGATTTCCTCTAGACCTGCACCAGCTCCCAGCAGCCCTGACCATCAGGGGTCTTCCACATGGTTCCAGCCAGTTTGGCAATTAATCCATCACAGAGAAAGCACAGCTGCAGCGTGGAGAGTAACAGACACATTCCTGATGACATCACCTGAACCCCTGGATCCAGCCTTACTTGAACTTTCTGATAATCTGCAACAATAAATTATCTTTTTGGCCTAAGCTAGTTTGAGTTTGGTTTCTGTCGCTTGCAACTGAAAAAGTTCTGACCAATAGATCTTTTCTAGTGCACAAATCTGCTTCTCATTTGCAGGTTAGGGAAAGAGCACTTCAAGGGCAATGATGCAGGACCATTGACTGAATTTCGATGTTACACTCAGCCGTTACTTTTGGGAGGATGTTATCTAACAATGATTTTAAAGGCGTGGGCAGGGTGAGAGAGCTCAGATTCACACTCTATCAGAGCACATGTCTCACCTATATATCAGAAGTTAGTTCTCGAGAAAATTTCTTGCCTACATAAATATATTCTAGATCCTTCAAGAGTGATCGCTCTGGCCTGCTCGGATTTCCATTAAGGGATGTCACTGCCCATTGATTCTGCCCAAATGTGCACTTCTTCTAACATAAAGTGAGTTTATATCTGACTGAACATCTTTGTACTTTTCAAACTACAATAAAGGCGCTTGGTAAAAAAAAAGGTTTGCAGTTAATGAGATTCCATTTAGTTGCATTGTTTTTTCTATAACCTAAAAAAAAAAAAAATCCTAAACCTTAATAATTTAAAATGACCATTGACCAGTCAAATTGTCCCCACATTTTCAATTTTCCTGTAATATATCATGTCTCCATTGAAATGGACTATTATAGCTGCCTGAAAAAGTATTGTTTGATGTCTGTAAGCACAGTCAGCAATCAATAATTTGAAATTTGTACCATTTGTACCTTTAAGTCCTGGCACATCATTTTTTATTTCATTCAATCTGCTTACTGTTGAAGAAAAAGAATTTTGAACCATTGCCACAAAGCACATTTATGTGTGAAACAGAGTTCCTTTATATGGTGGGAAGTATATCATTTTGACGTTTATTTGCAATATTAATTGTATATATTGATTCCATTTTTTTTCAGAAATTGTAAATTTATTATAAATATTACCACTGATGACCTTATTTTGGTGAGACTATCTTTCTGAAGAACTTGAAAAGATTTTGGCATTGTCATGAATTTTTAAATTCAGAAAGGCAACATATGTTGTAATATTAAATTAAAATTCCATAATTAGTTGTTAGTTCAAGGACAAACTCAAGCAGGAAATGCATTTTTTTAAATGTTGCCTCTTAGCTGTTAGATTAAGAATGAATGACCTTCTGTGATCAGCTCATGTTTACTTGTCTTTGTAACTCATTTCTCATGTTTGATCTTAGCCCAAATATAAATATAGGATGGAAAGTTATCATTAGTTATTTTTAAGTATCACTCATGTTTTTAGTTAGTAATCCTAAGAGCAACCTATGATTACTTTCAAAACCTTTCTCTGCCCTCACCAAATACACCGTCCTCCACACAAACACACAGAGACAGTATTTTTTTAAAAACCTTCCTCCCTACAGGTTTGGGTTTGAAATAGCTGAGTAATCTGAGTAATGAACCCTTACAAAGAACATCTAAGTTTAGCATGCCCAAGGGAAAAAGAGGGTCAAAGAGTTGCCACCCAAGAATCCTAGAAACTTCTTTGAAAAGAGGAAGAAAGACCTTAGATGCTTTACAAGGGATGAGATGTTCTCAGGCTGTTAAAAGGAATGTTCTTGGGCTGGATATAGGATTTTGGCTTGTCCCTGAAGAAATGCTGCCCACAAAGGAGGAACACTCTTCAATGAGGATAACTCCCCTTTGGGAGAGAGAGTGATAATCTGTATTCTGTCCTTTCACTCACTCAAAAGTATAGGTCAATTACTTTATTTTATAGACATGGTAATTTAAAAAAATTACATTGAGCCATTCAGTGCTTGCTTTATGATTGTGCACCTGCTGTGTGATGATGCGATAGACACTGGAGGGAGGGATGTGGAGGGGCATTTGAGTTGGATCTTGAAGGATGAGTAAAGGGATACAAGGAAGAATATTAAGCAAATGGAATAACATAAGCAACAGGTAGGAAAACAGATACGTATACAGAAGCATTGGCGTGAGCAGTCCCGTACATATGGCACATCAGATATACGGAGCAGAGAAGGGGGAGGCAAGACTGCAAAAGCAAATGTTCAGATCCAAACAGAATTT